GACGGCGTCCACACCCGTGCCAGCATCCCGAGGGCAGAGCGCCCAGGCCCATGTGGAGAGAAGGGAGCCCGAGCTGTGGGAGATGGCCCACGGGGTCCAGCCAACTCCACCCAGAGGCCGTATCACAGGTCCGCGTGCTTCCCACTGAGGACACAGTGCTCTCTCCAGTGACTGGCTAGGACACGTGAGGCTGCCAGAAACAGAAGTTTCATTTCTTCGGGATAAATGCCCAGAGTGTGACTGCTGGGTCATATGGTCCTTGCAGTTTAGTGTTTTTGGTGTTTTTTTTTTTTTTTTAAATGTATTTATTTTTTGGCTGCGTCGGGTCTTCGTTGCTGAGTGCGGGCTTTCTCTAGGTGCAGCGAGCGGGAGCTACTCTTCGTTGCAGTGCGTGGGCTTCTCATTGTGGTGGCTTCTCTTGTTGCGGCGCACGGGCTCTAGGCGCACGGGCTTCAGTAGTTGTGGCACAGAGGCTCAGTAGTTGTGGCTCGTGGGCTCTAGAGCACAGGCTCAGTGGTTGTGGCACCCGGGCTTAGTTGCTCTGCGGCATGTGGGATCTTCCCAGAGCAGGGCTCAAACCCGTGTCCCCCGCACTGGCAGGCGGATTCTAAACCAGCAGGGAAGCCCGCGGTTTAGTTTTTCACAAACCGTCAGGGTATTTTCCAGAGCGCTGTTCCATCTCACGCCCCCGGGGGACGGATATGGGATCCTCTCCGCATCCTCACTGGCACCGGGTGTTGTCCCCATTTTTACTTTCAGCTGTTCTGACAGGTGTGTGGTTCTAACTTACATTTCCTACTGGCCAATGACATGGAACACCTGTTCATGAACCTGTCTGCCATCAGTGCAGGCTCTTTGTACACGTCTCTGCCCGTTTTCTAGTTTGTGGTTTGCAAATATCCTCTCTCAGTCTGTACCTGTCTTTTCATCTCTTATCACAGATTTCCACACAGGAAGAAATTTTTAGCTTTTAGTCTAATTTACTAACCTCCTTTTTCACAGACTGTGCTTTTGGTGCCAAGTCTAAGAACCCTTTGCCTAGACCCTGAAAGTTTCATCTCCCTTCTGAATAAAAGTTTCATACTTTTATGTTCTACATTTAAGTTTGTGATTAATTTTGAGTTAACTTTCATACTAAAGGTTCACTTTTTTGCTGTATAAGTGCCTAAGTGCTCCAGCACGATTTACGGAAAAGGCTGTTGTCTTTCTCCCCCTGAACTGCTTTTGCATCTTTCTCAAGTATCAGTTGACCCAAAGCAAGCAGAAAATAACAAAGACTAGAGTACAAATAAATTAAATAAAAAGTAAATAGGAAACAAGAGAGAAAATCAGCTGAGCCAAATGCTGGTTCTTTGAGAAGATCAATAAAATTGATAAAGCTTTAGTTAGACTGACCCAGAAAAAGAGAGAAAAGATTCAGGTTACTGCAGTGAAGAATGAGAGATGAGACAGCATCCCGGACTTTAAAGAAATAAAAAGGATTAAAGGAATACTTTCAACAACTGTACTCCAAAAATTAAACAGTCTGCATGAAATGAACAAATTCCTAGCAAGACACTGCCAAAACTGACTCAAGAAGAAATAAAAAGCCTGAATAGACCCATCGTAAGTATTAAAAGACTGAAGCAGCCACCAAAACCTCCCTGTCATCCCTCTGCAGCCTTGCCTGTGCCCTCCCCTCCTCCTGGGACTCTGGTGGCAGGAGGGTCGAGCTCTCCTTGGCGGCCCGTTATCTCTCTTCCAGGGTTTCTCTCTGCCGCTCCGGACTGGGTCATTTCTATTGCTCCGTCTCCAAGGTGGCTGATTCTTTCCTCTGTTCCCTCCATTCCACCACTGACTCATCCGTGACATTTTTATTCCAGTTACTGTGTTTCCAATTCTTATGTAAAGCGTCCCATCTCCCAGCGCTCTGGCTGGGTGGGGGCAGCTGCCTTTGCTGTCTGCACCCTTTGGCAGTCCTGGCCGCCGACCTCTCCAGCTCCACGTCTGGGACAAGAGGAAACAGCAAAGGCCGAGAACTCATCACGTGTTGCTCCTTGGGTCCCGAGGTCCCCAGCCTCCACCCTTCTGAGTCTTCTGTGTTTGTTTTATAAACAATATCCAGGGTTTTAGTTGTCCTTGGCAAAAGAAATGGGAAAAACTGAGTCCACTCCACCTTCCTGGAAACAGAAGTCTTAGTTGTTCTTTAAAGTCACTCATTCAGCAAGTAATGGGCACCGCGGAGGTGCTGGGTGCCGCAGCAGACGGCACCCGAAGCGGTGCAGTTTAGCAACAACAGGTGTCTAGCGCTGCTCCTGGCTCACAGGTGACACTCAGCACGTGCAGAACTAAACCAGGTGAGGAAGGGCGTTGAAGGCATCTGATTCAGGTCACTAAACCCTCTCTGCCCAAGGAAGGCAGGACTCCAGCAGAAGGGTATTACTTCCAAGTTGCAAAGTCACCAACTATCACCAATGTGGCCCACAGGGGGCAGGGGGGGAGGCTGAAGGATCAACTCACTCTGGTGCCCACCCTCCCAGGCCCACCTGCCACCAAAGCTCCCCACGTGGATCCAGTTCTGTTCCAGCGAGGCCTGCACACCCAGAGGTCAGGAAGAACCCGCTGGCAAGGTTGCCGGGCGCTGTCGCCACTGCCCAGAGAAAAAGACCCCCCGCCACACACACACCTAACATCCACCGCAGGTAAACTACTACAACCCGTGATGGCATCAGTGCGCTTCATTTATCCAACAAACACTTAGCAAGTCCCTCTGTCTGCACCCTGCCTTTTCTTCTTCCGAGCAGTGGTACTGGGACTTCCCTGGCGGTCCAGTGGTTAAGACTCCACGCTTCCACCGCAGGGGGGGAACGGGTTCGATACCTGGTCGGGGAACTAAGATCCTGCGTGCCGTGCGGTGCAGCCAAAAAAACCCCCGAAACAACCAAAAACACAGTGGTATTAACAGGCAGAGGACACAGCCACCAGCTGACCCCTGAGCTGAAAGTTACCTTTACCAAGAAGACAGGCTTCCAGGGGATACAGCCCTGTACTTACAAAGTTTGGTCTCTACGTTTTGCATTCTTTTTATTTATAAAATTGCTTATGCAAAGGTATTACCATGCATAACGTATTCAGTTATGCAGTGTAAGATGTAGCCTTAACGGGGAAAACTCAAGTCAACCACATGGACCCTTCAGGAAATATTAAAAAAAAAAAAAACTATGTCACTGACTTCCAAACGTGTCTGAATGCGCACACCTCTCACAGTCCATAGGGACACAATATAAATATATAAAATAGTGCTCATTTCCCCGCTGTTTTCTTGCATAATACGCCTGGAGCTGACACCTTTCTCATCCTCAGTGGCAGGGCCTGCATTAGCATGTAAATAGCTGGCAGATACAAGGAAATGAAAGCAAGGAAGAGCTCTTTAATTAACTTTAATCCTCTGAAAATCCAGGCAGCAATCTGCTCTGACAGTTCTCCCAGGTCCTCCTCAGAAGGCGGTCCCACCAGAGGGCCAGTTCGGGAAAGGGACATTTGGGTACCTGGCCCACAAACGGCTGTGCCATGAGTGTCACCTGGAATCTGGGGGTGGTCCGCGGAGCGAAGCCTGGGCGGACACACAGGGCCCTGCCAGCTGGGGAGGGGTGGGGGGCGGGCGCTGGTTGGGCTCCCATCCCCAGTCCCCGCCGACCCTGGCAACAACCCTACAGGTCTCCCTGCCTTTTCCTTAAAGGGCAAGGGCGGGGCAGGTCGGGGTGGGGGGGT